CTCCCAAACGGAACCTGAAGTGGAATTCTCCACGTGCAGTTGTATCGATATGCTTTTTGCATATAAGCAGATGGATTGTGTGTCTCTGAACCATTATGAAAGAACTGCCACGAGCTTCATGCATTGTTTGGTAAGATGTGGCGCACACTGTTGATTCTTCACGCCCGGTTCCAGATGTGCAGCTTGCTGTTTTTGAGGTGGTTAATCATGTGCAATAACTCATTGATTATTATCAGTTTCAAAATCAGGATGCCAATTTTACTGGGTATTTTGTTCAAGGAATTTGACAGTAAATGAGACATTTTGATCATTTCTATAGGTCGAGTCTTTAATACTTCTGATTTTTGTGTACATGTGGCTTAATGTATGTGGCAGCTTAGTCAGCTTTCGTGTTTTTCCAGATATTTTAATGAGATGTCTGCACAGGGACTTAGACCTCGCACTGTATCCAGTCCTATTCCTTACACGCCATCTCCAAGTTCCAGCAGGCCTATATCTCCTGGTATGTATTAAACTTGATATACTTACTTGAACTAAGAATTTTTAACTGTTCTTGACTTCCAATAATGCATTCTACTAGATAAGTGGAGAATAATATCCATCTAAAAGTTCAAAGAGAAAAGCTTCCAGGTAGCCGAGTGGCCAGGGGAGTTGTTTCGTAACACTAAGCTGTACAGAAAAAATGATGCCATGCATCATTCCTGGTGGCATCGGATTTTGAGTTGATGTTCATACTCATTAGTGGGAAATAGACTAACAATTTGCAGTAATACGAACAGAGTGGTGATAAAACAGGTCTGGCAGCATCTCTGGGAAGAAAACAGAGTTGACTTTGAGTCCAGTGACTCTTCTTCAGTACTGGAATCAAGATCAATCGACAGTTCCTGATTTTGGTTAATGACCAGAGTTTACTATAATGATAACAATAATCTGTTGACGCTGTTTAGTTCACATTTGGCAGGCTATCGGTGGACTACGAGTAACAGTGGAACCCCTGGGATGGGGGGTGAGGCAGTGGAATTAACAATTTTTAGAATTAAATAGTGAATCATATTTACTCGTAATATTTGTAGTCACTTTCCTAAGAGGATTCATTTTGTATTGAGGGAGAATTTTCCTCTTTAACAAAAGGATTCTGACACACTGATTACATTGTCAAGTGATGTTCGTGACAGTTGCAATAGTAGACTGATGTTAGTGTTTAGGAGGGACTGAGTTTGAATCCTACTTGATGCTATACCTTGTGCAACATCGTTCGGTTGAGTTTTGCTGGTTTAAGCTGTATGTTTTTTAACTTGTCTTAAAGCATTATGACACCAGAGGGAGCTGGAAACCACTCATTCTGCATTCAAAGTAGAGTGCACAAAACTGCGTAAAAATGGCTTTATGCTGTTTGTGAAGTTAATAACACTTCTGCAAATAAGATTTGGATTGTATTTCAACTCGAAGCAGTTAATGGAAAATAACCAGAGCTGTGTGTGAATACTTTCTAGGGCTATCATATGCAAGCCACAGTGTTGGTTTCACTCCACCTACTACTTTGACTCGTGCTGGAATGTCCTATTACACATCACCTGGTCTTCATGTACAGCATATGGGAACTTCACATGGTATTGCGGTGAGTTAAGAAATTAGTGAATTAGGTCTGTTTGTATATAGTTTTCTGCATGGCAGAGGGATAACTAACTAATCACTGGAGCATTTCATACAAAACTAGAGTTTTTTTTAATCCTTGCATGAAATATGGGCATCAAAGGCAAGACCAGCATTTATTGCCCATTCCGAATTGCCTTTGAAGGTATTGGTGGGCTGCTTTCTTGAAAAGCTGCAATCCGTGTTAAAGTAGATGTAGCCCAGTGCAGTCCCAAAAGGGTTCTGTGATTTTGACTCAGTAAGAAGGGAGGAACAGTGATTATAGTCAGTCTGATGAATGACTTGGAGGAGAACTTGTATGTGATGGTGTACCCATGCGACTTAAGCCCTTAGCTTCTAGCTGATAGAGATTGTAGGTTTGGAAGATGGTGTTGAAAGAGGCTTGATGATTTGCTGTAGAGAGTTTTGTAGGTAGTGCAAACTGGTGGTGATCAAGAGATTGGATGTTTAAGGTGGTGTTGATCAAGCAGGCTTTGACCTGGATGGCATCAAGCTTCTTGGAACCGTACCCATCCAGGCTGTTGTTGGGAACTCCGTCACACTCCAAACTTGTGCTCCGCGGCCAGTGGGCAGGCTTTGGGAAGTTTTGCGGTGAGTTACTCATCTCAGAATTCCCCAGCTGATTTGTAGCTGCAGTATTTGTATGGCTGGTCCAGTTCAATTCAGTTTCTGGTCATTGGGAATGTATCGGGTGGTGGTCATGGGTGACACGACAGAGGTAATGCAGTTGACTATCAAGAGGTGATGGTTAAATTCTTTCTTGTTCAAAATAGATTCTACCATTTGCGTGGTGCAATTGCTGCATATCAGCCCAAGTCAGAATGTTGTCCTGGTCTTGCTATGTGTGGCCATTACTCCTGTATCTGAGGAGTTGTGATGAGGCGGAACATGTAATCATCAGCAAAATCACCATTTCTGATTTTGTGATGCCGAGAGCATCATTGACAAAGGAACTGAAAATCCCATTATCCCAAGACACCAGCGTGAGAAAATCCTCCAATGATGTACTTGGACCAGGAACACTGACCTCAAATGAACCAAAACCACCTTGTCCAACAATATTAAGTGAAATGCTTATTTTAGGGCAAGCTTATTTACATTAGTATCTTAATTCAGGCTCTACTTGAAGGACAGTGCTTGTGAAAGGGTGCAAAATTAAATAGTAAGGAAAAAGTATCAACTCTGCTTGGGAAACAGATTTGCTTGAAAACTGAACAAACCTGATTAGTGGGATGCAGGTATTTAATATTTAATTGTTCAATTAAATCAAGGAGGTGGGGAGGATAGGAAAGGATAAGAGTCTGGAAAGTTTAAATGGAGGAATATAACAAAATATTAGAGAAATTCATAGAGGGAGTATAATGAAGATTCACCAGACAGATTCCTGGGATGACTGAGAGGTTCACAACAAATCTCATTGAAATAAAGTTCTGACACGGCTGGACAAACTGGATATAAGGATGCTGGTCTCCTGGCAGTGGTGTCTAGGACAAGGAGTCACAGTCTCAGCGTATGGGGTAGACCATCTAGGACAAAAAAAAAAGACATTTCTTCACGAGTGGTGAGCCAGGGAATTCTGTCCCTCAAAAGGCAGTGGAGACCAAGTCACTGAATATTTTTAAGAGATTTCTCGACACTAAAGGTGTCAAGGGGAATGGAGAGAGAGATCAGTCAAGATTCTGGTGAGTGATAGATCAGGCACAATTGGCTGGATGGCCTACTCTAGCTATTTTGTGTTTCTGTTCTTTGGGAAATAACTGAAGACAACTGTTTAGTGCAGTTAATGTACTGTCCCCTAAAAATTCAAAGTTGGTTTTGAACCCAGGAAATGTTTTAATAACCTACATTAACTTCGAAGTAGTTTTTTGGAATGTTTCAAACCTTTTATTGGTCAGATAAGACATTGAAATCAGACTTGTGGTATGGTTTTGATTTCGGAGGAGATGGGTGGATGGATCTATGTGCTAAGGTATGTCTTGATCTATTTAGATGAGGTAGTGTTTGCTGGCACCGACAAAGCGGGTAACTATGCACGTGCTCATTGTCTGAATGCTTACAGGTGCAACTTGTTCAGGATATACAGTCTTGATGTCTCTTCAATCACTTTTTTAAAAATGCTTTAATCATGAATTGATATAAAGGGTTTTATTTTTAGATCTAAGTGATCAGCTGAGCAGCTTGTTCTGAACAATCAGATCTCAAATTCAGCATTTTCTTAGCATATTTCTCTCCAAACAAAAGAAGTACCTGTACAAACTAGTCACTGTTCAAAACAGTGCTGACAGGATTCTACAGCAAAGCAGGCAGCTACCACTGGTTATGATTTAGAAGAAACCTTGTTTAATAAAGAAATCCAGTATCCAGTGAGCTTTTAATAACCTCTTAAACCACTTTATTACCACAAATCCTGAAATGCGTCCATTTTCCACAGTCCTCCCAAATTTAAGTCCTCGAAGCACTAAAACTTAATGGAACTCCATAACAATTCATCATTATTTGTTTTTCAGTAGAGCTGATGTGACAGTATTGATTGGTTCTATTACATAGGTGGGCCACAAAGGTGTACTGAGAATTGTGTTCAGACAGAATCCACATAAGTGGCAATAAGAAATTGGAAGAGAGTTGAAAGGGTTTTCAGTGAGCATGATAAACCACCAAACAGGTGATGACTAAGAGAGAGAGCAAGAACTGCAGATGCTGAAGTCTGAGTCAACACTGTGGTGCTGGAGGAGCACAGCAAGTCAGGCAGCATCAGAGGAACCTTTCATCAGAACTAGGGGGAAGGGAACTGGGAAATAAATAGGGGGAGGGGGTGGGGCTGGGGCTGGGGGAAGGTAGGTGGGATGGTGATGGGTGGATACAGGTAAGGGGTAGTGGGGATTGTTCAGTGGAAGGGTGGGGTGGATAGGTGGGGAGGAAGATGGGCAGGTTGTGTCCGGTCAAGGAGGCAGGGAGGAGAGAGAGGGTTGAACATTGGGTGAGGGTGGCGCGATTTTGAAACTGGTAAACGCTATGTTCAGGCCATCAGGCTGTAGGCTCCCGAGGCGGAATATGAGGTGCTGCTCCTCCAGTTTGTGGGTGGTGTCATTGTGACCATGGAGGAGGCCCAGGATGGACATGTCACCCAGGGAGTGGGACGGGGAGTTAAAATGGTTGGTGACCGGAAGGTGTTGTCGTTTGTCGTCATTTGTCGCGTGCAGAGCGCAGATGCTCCATGAATCAGTCCCCGAGTCTGCGCTTGGCCTCACCGATGTAGATGAGGCCACATTGGGAGCAACGGATGCGGTAGACTAGGTTGGAGGATGTACGGGTGAACCCCTGTCGGATGTGGAAAGTTTGTTTTGGGTCTTGGAGGGAGGTGTAGGGGCAGATGTAGTATCTCCTGCAGTGCAGGGAAAGGTGCCAAGAGTGGTGGGGTTATTGGAGAGTGTGGAATGGGTGAGGGAGTCACAGAGTGAGCGGTCCCTACAAAAGGCAGGTAGGGGTCAGGAAGGAAATATCTCTTTGGGGTTTAATTGGGGTGGAAGTGGCAGAGGATGATGCACTGGATGCGGAAGTTGGTGGAGTGGTATGTGAAGGACCAGCGAGACTCTGTCTTTATTTTTGTTGGGGGATGGGGGTTCAGGGGCAGAGATGCAGCTAATGTAAAAGATGCGGTTGAGGGCATTTTTGATCACCGGAAGGGGCGAGTTACAGTCCTTGAAATAGGGGGATGTCCAGGAGTGGAACACTCCATCTTGGGAGCAGATGTGGCAGAGGCAGAGGAATTGGGAGTAAGGGATCGAATTCTTGCAGGAAGGTGGGTAAGAGGAGATATAGTCCAGGTCGCTATGGGAGTTGGTGGGTTTGAAATAGACGTCGGTGTTGTGACAGTTACTAGAGATGGAAACAGAGGTCCAGGAAGAGGAGGGAGGTATCTGAGATGGTCCGGGTGAATTTCAGGTTGGGGTGAAAGGTGTTGGTAAAGTTCATGAACTGTTCAAGCTCCTCCGGGGAGCGCAATACAGTCATCAATGTAGCAGAGGAAGAGGTGAGGGATGGTGCAAGTGTAACAATGGAAGAGGGACTGTTCCGCATATCCTACGAAGAGGCAATATATTTCAGGGTGGAGGAGATCACCTGTGGGTTGCAGTGGGAGAGAGATCCACTGAGGTGTTTCCGGACCAAGGGGGTTAGATTTTCCGTATGACCAATTATATATCATTTTTTCCCTTTCCCCCTCAAAGAAAGTTACCCTTTTATTCATTGTCAGTCAAGAATTTATCTAACTCAACCTTAAAAAATATTCAATGACGCTCCCTTCACTGCTCTTTTGGGAGAGGCATTCCACAGACTAAATTTCAAAGAAGAGAATTTCTCCTCATCAGTCTTAAATGGGAGATCCCTTTATATTTAAATTGTCTCCTCATTTACTGTATCTCCCATAAGGGTAAACATCCTTTCATCATCAATGCTGTCAAGTCGCCTCAGAATCTTTTGTTTCAATGAGATTGCGTCTCATTCTTCTAAACTCCAGTGGATGCAGGCTTAACCTGTCCAACCATTCTGCATAACCGCAGGAATCAACTGACTGACCCCCTCTGCTCTGCTTCTCATGCATTTTTATCCTTCTTTAAGTGTGGAAACCATAGTTGTACGCAGTAGGGAAAGTTTGTATAATGCTTTCAGAATTGCTCCTGAGATTAGTCTGCTTGTTATCCAGAAAGGCTGGCTGTAGTTTTGGGAAATGCAATGAAAGTTTAATAAACGACGTGACACGGAGGAATAATTGAGGAAAGAGTGGCCCCTACGTTCCATACAGTTAATTCATTGTAGCAATAATTCTTATAAATTTCTATTAATGTTAAATGGATTGAGTACAAAACACAACACCTCATAAAGTGATTAGGGGGCTATGCAAAGGATTGAGTTAAATGGATGCAAGCTATGATGTTAGATCTAACATAATGAAAAAGCTATCATGAATGTAAAGGTTGCATTATGGAGATGAGAATTTTGGGCTTAGAGGAAATAAAATACAAGGCGAGCAAATATAAAAGGATGTACTTCCAAAAGCAGTTTAAAAAAAAAACCACTAGAATGGAATCCAATTGTGGAAGATGAGGCTAGAATATTAAATATTTTGTCAGTTTCCTTAAATGATAGAAGTGAAAATGTAGAGGGATATGGAAAATTTTTGAGTTGACTAGGAGAAGAATTCATTCTTTTGAAACAAAGTCAGAGTTTTTATGGTTATGCTTTTGGGAAGGAGATGGCAGAAACTTTGACTACAATGTTTGTTTGTTTCAGTCCTCAAACATGTACATTGTGGCATTGAACTTGAACAGATTTGTTGAGGTACCTGTGAAAAAGAGGGAGGATAAGCAGGTTTTTATTTGGTGGGCAAACATTTTCGAATCCAAAACCTGAGGACACTTTGACATGCTTGCATTAAGGCGAGTGAGGACAGCTTTGTTGAAATGCTTGCCTTGTTTGAAAAATTAATGTTTTTGAAGAGGTGACTGATCAGGTAGGTCATGAGACTGAAATGGATATTCAGTAGGTGATTGATAATGTTGCATAATGTTGCTTAGAAAAATCCAGGAATAAGGACATGGATTGCGAGTTACTTGAAGGTAGATTGAAATTGTAGATTCACTATGATGATGGCAGTGATGTCAGCTTGACTCTGCTTCAATTTGAGGATGTTGTCTGTGCCACCTCCTGGGTTTTTGATGTGACGTTTCTTCATGTGACTGATTAGGCTGATTCTTGATCCTTAGATCTTTGGGTAGATGGGACAGGATATCTCAAGGGACCCAGAGTGCAGGAACAAAAACAGAAATTGTGGGAAAAGTTCAGCAGGTCTGGCAGTATTGGTGGAGAGAAATCATAGTTAATGTTTTGGGTCCACTGACCCTTCTTTAGACCTAGAGTGCAGACTTGCTTTTTTCCCTGCCAAAGCTCGGTCTTATTGTTGAGGCATTAGGATTCTGTGTGATGTACCTTGTCACCATTTTGAGCAATTGATAGCAAGCTCCTCCCAGTCACTTCAGTATTGCTGCACGTGCAGAGAGTCTGTGGCTCTGCCGTTTTCTTTGTCCTTCCCCTGGAACGGTGCCGTTTGAGAGTTGAGAAAACTTGACCTAGTGAGAAAGATGCTTTACTTCCATCCAGACACTGTGTCCTGTTAATTATAATTGATTTTGTCCGAGTTTGTTTGAATGCTTGTGGAGCTGGTTTCAGGAAGGACAAGAACATATGGACTCATGAACTCAACCAATAATCCCATAATGGCAGCTGATGCTCTCCAAGCTATCTCTACTATCCTGTAGTAGAACCAATGGTTGAACCACCATAAATCAGAGCTGCTTCAAACAATTGTACAGATGAAAAACAACAAAGTCCATGTCTCTGGTATTTCAGCAGAGATTTTCGCCGCTGGTCAGGGTTTGCTCAACAGAAGGCTCTGCACTCATCCTGTGGGAGGGATTGGAATATCGCACTCTTGCCCAAAACAGCGAAAATTCTGCTATGGCTGAGGAAATCCACCCAGAGATGCAGCATCTGTTACGGACCTTTTTGAAAGAGCATCTGACATTGTCTTTGTTGCCATACAAATCCGAGGAAAATGTCAGTCTCAAAACTAGGATCTCTCCATTGCTTTCATCCACCTGACCAAAATGCTTAACAGTGAATTGAGAGTTTCTTTGGATTGTGTTCCACAGAGGCCTCTTCATAATCTTGCAACTGCTTCAAGACATGACAGCTGGGTTTATTTCCACTGAAACACAAAGGCCAAGAGATGGAACAGTGATTTTTAACATGATCATGGGTTTGATGGATAAGAATGAACAATATACTCTGGTAGAGAGTTGCGCTCAAGTGGGGAGAGAGGTTTAACATTGTTTATGCAGGGAGATTTTGGAGTTTGACAGGAAGAGGTGCAAACTGGGATTTTCACTGTTGCTTTGTGATAAATGTTTTTGCAATGTGTGTGTTGTTTTGAGTGAATATAAGATTAGACCTAGTTGTAATGCATGCTCCTTAACCCCTCCCCCACACGGTCTGTCTGCTTCTCTGATGCTCAGCATTTGGAAAAGTAAAACATTCCACCAATTAAGTATAAAACAGGATCTTTTATCTTGAGTCCCTGTCACAGACTCTCTTCCTATACCATTAATCTGTCCTTTTCTTTGGCAATTGTCTGAGATTGAACCATGCTGTTTGCAACCTTGGTTTGATATTTGACCCTCTGATAAGCTTATTTCCACCCATCTACATTATTGCAAAGGCCACTTATTTATCTATTTTCTGTTTCTATCTCTGCAATATTGCTACTCACCCCCAAACATAAGTTTGCTGACGAAAGCTTCAGTTCTGGGTTTATAGCCTCCAGCTTTGATCATGCCAACATTCTTTTGGCTGACCGCTCATTCTTGCCACACACAATGTGTCTCTCACCATATATACACATTCTCGAGGTCATGTAAAAATCTGCCTTCTTACTTGCTAATCTACACTAATTCCTGGTCAAGCAAGGCTTGGACTTCAAAATATTTTCCCTTTGCTCTCAATTTTTTTTCATGGCCTTGCCTGTCCCATTAGTAATTTCCTTTCTTAGAATCTTCACCTTCTGTCTGCTTCACTAATACTGGAACTGTACACTTTGCTTTTGCCGATTCAGCAGTTAACCTTAATGAAGAAAGAGTGAAATTGTTTACATTTTCAGATGTTTTTGTTCATGTTGCATCATTTGCAACACATCCCTGTGGCTGAACCTCCTTCAGTTTCAGAGACCTGTTCTTTTGTAAGTAATTCTGGGCAGCAGGGTAGATTCTGTTTGAAGTGAGATAGTATGAACTGCCGCTGCTGGAGCCTGAGATAAGTGTAGAGCTGGACGAACACAGCAGGCCAGGCAGCATCAGAGGAGCAGGAAAGCTGACGTTTCGGGTCGGGACCCTTCTTCAGAAAAAGGTTCAGGGAGACCCTTCTTCAGAAAAAGGTTCAGGGAGAAGAAGCTTTCCTGCTCCTCTGATGCTGCCTGACCTGCTGTGCCCCTCCAGCTCCACATTCTGTTTGAAGTGACTTTCGAAAAGTTTTGATCTGTACGGTTTTAACCCCATGTCCTTAAGCTTATATGTGTTTGTTTGTTTTGCAGAGGCCTTCCCCGAGAAGAAGCAACAGCCCTGACAAATTCAAACGCCCGACACCTCCGCCCTCCCCAAACACACAGACAGTGGTTCAGCTGCCGCCACCGCCACCTCCTCCAGTCCAGCCAGCACTTCAGTGTGCAACTTCTCAACCAGCTCATCCCCAGCCTTCAGCATATCCTCCTGCTCCTCCTCCACCATAAAGCGCACGTGCTGTGAAGCAGCGGCACCCAGAGTGGACTGATGACCTAAAGCAGTTTACTGAAGCCAAAGGCTTAACTGGCATCTTTTGGATTTGACTTATTTGCACTGAGATTATATAGGCTTCACCGCTAACTGTGTTGTAAATGTTTGTCTGGAGGGCAGCCGGTGTTGTTTGTCCACAACACTAATTTTACTGCATTTTGTCAGTGTTGACTGGAACCTCATGCACAACCTTCATCTTGTTGCTTCAAATATCTGCCACATCCATTTGGTGATAACAGTACATGATTGAATGTCCTGATGGTTCCAAAGCTTCATTCCACAGATTCGTAAAACAAAACACACGCACACACTTACACAAGAAGACCTTTCGATGATTTTCATTACAAATTTTGCAGTAATTGCAAGCATGATGTGTCTTGTTTTCTAGGCTGTGTTTATGCTTCAGTGTTAATGCTTTTGTGTCTTGTTGGGTTTTGCCAAGCATTTACAGAATTAGCACTACATTTTGGAACAAAGTGGTAACGGAGTTTTAGGGGAAATATTCAGACTTGTCAAACACCATCACTAAAACTAATGTCTACAGGTGGTATGATTTGTATCCAAATAAATAGCATATAAGCTTAATACAGATTCAGTATTGAATTTCTGCCATGTGCTGTGACTGCTTTTATTTCCCAGCAAAACCAGTTTTGGCAAATCAGTACCATTTTGGCAAGGATCATTTCTGAGTTTAATTAACAAATTTATTATGGATTTGGCTTGTGGCAACAGGAAATATCAGTAACATTTCATATTTCAATCCAGCAATCAACATTTTTTGATGTAATCTGTAAACTTAGGTTTTAATGTCTGTGGGCTTTGTAGATGGTCAATAATTTAGGCAAGCGAACTGGCGTGTGTTGTGCTGATTTTGAGCGAATGTTGCCTGCTGTAAAATATCTGCTTTTGATGACTAGAAATCATCAGCTGAAATATTGGTGAATCCTGCAAATTCAAGTACCATGTTGAAAGAACAAATAGTTTTTATTTGCTGCCAAATCGGTTTTTATTAGGGTTTGAAGATGTGACTGAAAAAACAAGTAACTGTGTTTTGAACAGATGCATTGTGGTGTAATCTGCTAACTGAGATGGAATCCTTTCCAGTTACCTAGATATAATGCAATTGTAGCCAAATAATTCTGTACTGCTTGGTAGTTAAGGGACAGGCTGCGGAGAGGGCAAGTTCTTGGCTGTAATGAAAGCTTCAATAATACAAACTGGTACACTGTATAAAAGGGAGCAACCGCAACTATAATTTTCCGTTCATCCAACAAAAATAAATTGTTTGGTTTGACTTTGCAGCAGCATCAAAAATGTTAAGTGTCCTTTTTTGAAACAATAAGAGAAGTGCCATGCTGGGGAGAAGGGGGTGAAGAGAACAGGTAGCTGCCAGCTGTTTATGTAAACCCTGTGTTTTGCAGCATTGCTTATAACAAACCTAGATCTTTGTTTAACTGATCATACTGAGCTGGTGTGACTTCACTGAGGCTTTATGCTCCAGATGCCAATTTTGGTCTCTGTTGAGGTAACTTCTCAAAGCCAAGGCAGCCAGCTGGGATTGTCCCGATGAGTTTGGGTGGCAGGGACAATTGACCTGATTACTATCAGCTGACTCCTGACTGAAATTCTACCTGTGGACGTTAGTTAAGAGCAAAATCAAGTTCAGTTACAATGTCCCAGTTTTGCCAAGTATGCTGTCAATTCACTGTTGATATTCACCATGTAAATACTGAGCATTTTAAAACACTGTTCCATCAAGTCTGGAATGCTTACCAAGTTCGGTAAATCCCCAACCTTCAAGGATACAAATGCAGCGAAGTAGCTTGTGGTTCCCCAGACTCCTAAGGCTGGTGTATTGAAGGAAGCTGGTTTAATTTAATGACTGATACAGCATATCCAAATAAGATCAGTCTGTGAATTTCTAGTGTACAATAGTTTGGTTACTTTATGTACTAATGTATAGCTTTGGGTACTGAGGCCTATCTCAGCTACAGTTAAGGCCTACTGTGACCAAGACAAAATTGGCCTTTTATGAGGTTTCAGCCATGGTCTTCTGGATCATAATGCAAAATCCAACCATTTCTTGCTGTGGAAACTACAAATCTGAACTGTTCAAAGTTTACTTTGTGCACTGTTAAAGTTGGTGCAGGAGTGCAGAATTTACTGCCAGGATTTTGAAAGATGCATTGCTCCAACCATCATGGGAAAGTTCACACCAAACACTTCCTTGTTGGCTCTACCTTCAGAATCACCCACCCCCAAACATGCACGATCAATCTACTGTACAGATGTTTAGCTGGCCTAGTATCAGATGACCCAAATTCTGACGTTTTAGAGCACTGGAGCATATTTGTTTTGCAAGATTCTAGCAGAGGAAATTTAATAATCAGTTGGCAGCTTCCTCACAATTATACAATTTAGGTAATACCTATCTCCTTTTCTTGTGAGCAATGAGAGGTGAACCACTTGTTTCAATTTCGATTTGTAACATCTATCTGTGTCCAAACCCTTGTATTGACACTTATCTGTTGTAACGTTTCACTGCCTGTGTAGGGGGTTTATCCTCCAATAAGACTATGGTACAGAGTCATGTTATCTATTACCCTATTTTACCTACAAGCCACATTAGCAGAGGGGCAAATCAGCATACTCCTTCTGGTTATGACGTAACCATGAGTCGTCAGTTTAAATTGTCAATTGGTCTGAAAAATACTGAAAAATATCAATGATTTAAAATTTAAGAAACAAATATGAACTGGTCACAGTGGTAATCTTTCTCTTCTCTTCATATCCCAGAGTGTCTATGTTAATCTGATCGAAAACTTCTCATCTAAAACAATTGAATTTCACCAGCCTTAATTCTTGTTATGAAAGTCATTCTGGCACATGATAATAACGAGCTGTCGGTTTTCACATTAGGGAGGCTTCTGAGTTCAGTTTAGATACAAGGCTATCATTTTTTTTTCCTTTTGATGTTAAACATGGTTCCCACTGTCTTTTTACAGAAAATATGGAGCAAAGGTTCAAGGCCTTTCAGTTTGATTGTTTGGTGCAAGGGCTGTTCACAATTAGTTGCTTGACATGATGGTTTACAGGAATTATTTTCTGTCCAGGAGTTGGAACTTCTCATCTAACTGCAGTCTGGTTTGATAACTGAAGATAGTAATGTTGAACAATCTGCATATTGTTATTCGGGCTAGTCATTGAAATATTTGGTCATCTGGCCTCAACTTTACAGAGAGAACAGTGAGATTTTCTGCAGTGAGCTTCCCAATCTTTTGCATTGGGCTTACTGATCCAAGCCCAATGGAGAGGGTTCAAGATAATGTAATGAGATGGTTTATTCAGTCAATGTATGCCTTTGATCTCAATGTTTAAGAATTGAGGTGGCATGAATACCTATTGTGGTACATGCATAATTTTCTTTTAAACCATAAGAGTATGCTGATGAGACTTTGTGCTGGAGTACATGGAACAAAAATGACCAAACTTTTGAGTAATGGTACTTTAACCACCAGTATTAAAATAGCTCTTTATTATAGGTTTCAATGATTTTTATCTGTTTTTATCACATTAAGTAAAAACGGATTTTTAAAAGTTTATTTGCGGGGCAAGGGCCATACTGGCTAGGCCGGCATTTATTCCCATCCCAAATTGCCCAGAGAGCAGTTCAGAGTCAACCACATTGCTGTGGGTCTGGAGTCACATGTAGGCCAGACCAGGTAAGGATGGTAGTTTTCTTCCCTAAATGACATTAGTGAACCAGGTGGGTTTTTCCTGACAGTTGACATGATATCTGTTTGACCAACCTAACTGTACAATTAATCTTTGCAATTGCATATTGAGAACTGCACAACCACTCCAATGGTACATACTAGTTTCTATATTGATCTCGAATCTAAAAGTTTAAATTTTAGTAAATGCAGTCCAATAATATTGGTGTATAAAACAATTATCTGCTTCAGATTGAAGGACAGAATAGAATGGATGGGAATTGCTGCATTTCAGAATGTACCACTTTCTGTACATTGTTTATTCTAAAGCAAAGCAACTTGCATTTATGTAGTGTGCCTTATGTTCACAGGACATCTCAAAGGGCTTTACAGTATGTTTCATATTTGAACGGTGATAATTGCTTTCACGAAGACAAAAATATGCAAGCCCATGTCTCTACTTCTACGTCAAGAAAATTAGGACTTTGTTTTCAAACAACATTTTCAATAATGACCTAATTGCTGATTTCTGTTTTAATTTCAGCTTGTCCTTGCCTATTGACAGTCATAGAATTTGATTCTTTTATAATCTGTCCCAGTCTTAATTCCTAATTCATTATGATCTGCACTGTGGTGTAGACTGAAGGAAAATCTTTTCTTGAAACATTAGCAGTGAGCAAAATCTTTCAGGTGAACAATATTTTAAATCTGCAGCTGTCATGCATACTATTTAAACTAAAACCTAAAGATTCTGTCAAATGATTTATTGTAGCTAAAACTTCGTTGTGGGGGTTGGTTTGGGTAGTTGACTGGATGGCTGGTCTGTGATGCATAGTGATACCAGCAGCGTAGGTTCATTTCCTACACTAGCTGAAGATAGAAGCATGAGTAGGCCATTCGACCCCCTCAAGTCTGCTCTACCATTCTTCATTTTGATGGCTGTTCGTCAAGTTCAAACCCTAATCCTGTCTTCTCCCAATATTCCCTGATACTTTTAGCCACGAGCTTTAACTGCCTCCTCCTCGATGTTAGGTTAAATTGCCACCTGTCATTTAATTAGCGACTTTACCTCTGAGGGTAGATAGAGAGCCACAACATTTACATGTGATTAGAAACTACATTTAAAGTATAGTTGTTTTGCAGAGTCCTAATTTCTTCCTCTTCTCAGTGTAAACATAAGCATAATTCCACTTTTTGTTTCAGTGACTTGAAACATCTCAACCACATTAGTTCTGTGTGCTTGCATTGCTTTGTATACCTGAATTTTTAAAGCATTTGGCTCAGATTTATTTCAGATTGCACCATTACCTTCCATATGCAATTCATAAATGTCGTTATTACTAGAATTTAACAAGTTCAGTAATTTTTTTTTTGCTTAAACGTCAGAACTGTGTCCACGTCTTTGACTTGAGTGATTACAGTGTCACATCTTGGCTTAGGAAGTAAAGTCTCAACTTTTTAATTTCCCCCCTTGTTTTCTATTCCTCTTTGGTAAATCTGAATGTGTAGCGACCTTACATCTGTGTACATAATATACATTAGATAAATGCAAGATTGGGGAAAATTTCTGGAAGTTGTTCGTCGCTTGCTTTGATTCACATTTAATCCAAGTTTAAACAATCTTTAGTATACTGTACCCAAACTTCTGAATTACATGATGAAAACAAATAAATTTTGACATGTGGAAACATTTGTGTTTACAGTAGCAAACAAAACATTGTGTAAGATTTGATTGTAGTTTATATTATGGTTTATTTTAAATCGACGTGTTTACAATCTAAAGATTATTTAGGTGCTTCACAAATTTACAAAAATCACTTCAAGGGCTATCTTTTATGGTTGACTTCATAAAGCAAACAATGAAATAATTGGTTCTACATAGTTACTCCTGCCTCCTAAGGTCTGATTTGGGCTAGTTACATTTCTATAGATAAATATTACAGAAGTGCCTTTTTTTGATTAGATGACGTCAAATTATTTTTTTTGTGGAAATAATGCATTCATTTACATGTGCATTTTCGTTCAACCTAAGTGTTTGGCCCATTTACGCACACACCTTTTATTAAGTACTGAGCTTTACAGCAGGAAATGTGTCTGAACCCAAATGTTTGTCCCCTGTTAACTGATCTGAAATTTGCTAATTGTGGTGAATTATTTTTCAAACCTCAAGTAGAGGAACCTGAGCCGTGTAGAACTTCTAGTTTTATTTCAAAATAACAAACTTTAGGTAGCGGACACCACATTAAGAAAACCCATGTACAATATCATTGTTTTCTTGTAACTGAAAATGCTAATAAAATGCTTTGTACAAACCCTATATGTAGAACCTTATGTTCAAATAACAAACGGGATTCTGGCAGCTTTTCACAAAGGAGTTAATGCACTGATGCATTTGCTTTACCAGTAGTTCATCAAGTAAACTATAGAATGCAGGGTTGAAATGAAACCAGTGGAAATTGTTTTGGGACTCCTTATATAGTTAGAACCAGGCTATTCTTAAATACTAAAAATTAATCCAAAGTTACAAGGTAGTGGACTGCTTCAATGCGCTATTCTTCACAAGATTTTTGTGTTCCTCCTCCTGTCTCTCTGTCGGCAACT